GGCCGCAGGCCCTGAGGGGCGCCGGGGGAGGCGGCAGGGCCGGGCTGCCCGCCCCTCCTGCGCCCCGGGGGTGTATTGTAACGCGCTCACAGCGATCCCGAATAAACCGAGGCAAGAGGCCTGGCTTCGGGGCGCCCGGAGTCAGAGGAGGCAGGCTGAGAGCGCCAGGGTTGATTCTTAACCCCGGGGGACGTTTTCTGGGGTAGTGTTGTGAGCCAGCTTGGGGCGCGGCGCAGGCATCCCCGGCCTCTCGCTCGGGCCCTGCTGAGCTTCACAGCTGCCCCGGCCTGAGGGTGCGGGGGGGAACGGCCTGGGGAGCTTGGCAGGCGTTTTGTTGGGGCTGCGAGAGTCGGCGAGGGGGAAGCAGGGCTTCGCCGACCCCTCTGCCGTCGCTGCGCTCCAGCCCGGCCCTTCTGCTGTCATTTACAGGAACGAGACGGCAGCAAGTTCATCCCCGACAGACACTTGGACTGAAACTCAGAAGGGAAGTTGTGGCACTGCCTTGCAACCGGTTAATAAACTCATGCAGGGCGTCAGCCTAGGAGAGCAGTAGAATGTAGACATCAACTTTAAGCAGAAAATTTTAGAGTTTAACCCCTACACTGAAAAGCAAATGCAGATTGCAGTAATTACTGTTACCCTAATGGTGGCTCTCTGGCCTGCAAACTGATAGCTGAGCCAGGGTTCCTGACGTTTGGATCAGATACATAACAACGGCCATTGGGAGTCCTTTATCCTGTTATACTTGGGGCTTCTGCCTGCACAAATATGAAACAATCCTTGGATCATCGCTCCCTGTAGAGGAACTGCCATGTGTTTGAAGGATAGTGCTTTGAGCAGCCTGGGATTGCTCATACATAAAACAATAGGCTAGATAAAAAAACCCACTCTGAGCTCAGAGCAACTTTAGTTAGAGTGCCCCTCCCTTGGACCAACCTAATGGAAAAGTGTAGAGAAGCGTTCCCACCCTGTAGTCCTCTTCTGAAACGAGTTGCCTTTGTTTATGCTGTCAAACAATTTACTCTGTCAGAGAGGAGGAGTAACTTTGTTCTGGTGTGGAAGTTAAAGCATGGCGAGGAGGTTGTGCCACCCTTGAGTTCTTACTGTCCTTTCTACAAAATTACCCCTTTTTACAGTGAGAATGTAAAATGTGTTTGACTGAGGAGAGGGAGCACGAGCAAGCATATCTCTACAGCCTAATAATTAAAGTAGTAGAGAAATCCTAATTCTAGCAGGGGATGCTGTGATCTGGGCTGTGGCTAGCATGCAAAAAGGAGAGTTCAGACAGCTGTTTGGCAGGGCCTGCCAACAGCTCATTTAACAAAGTTTAATCTGGGTTATGCCAAGAGGGCCAAAGTGTGTTATAATTAGATCTGAGCTCTTCAACAGCTCTAAACATCTTTTATTTCAACAGCTGAATGGCAGAGTCGGTACACCATCTAGTGGCCGAAGGCAGACGTAACCATTAGATTTTTATACTCCGCTAATTTTACACTGACAGCCCCAACACCTTGCCCACGAATTTGCCTTTCAATACTGTCAACAGCCACGCTAGTTTCTGTTTTGTCAGCCCAAAGACAGGCACTACCTTCACAGGGAGCTCTGGAACACAGCTAGCCTCCGAAAAAATGGACTTGAAGTATCTTCTGAGAGTTTAAATACTGTCCCAGATGTGGGCAACATGTAAAGATTTTGGGCAGGGTTTCTGGGTACAGAAAGTAAAGTACTTCTTACTTAAAAGAATGCACAGTTCTTCCAAGGGTCAACATAAAATCCTGAGTGCGGTTAATGAAGCCCCTTATTTTCTTAAGGTGTCTTGGTGGTACTCAGTATTCACTCTTCTTGCTGCGGCTTGCCTTAGCTTGAGCTAGTAAAAGTACACGCAGGAGTTTTAACTGTCCTTTTTGAACTTCCCTATTACTCCAGTCATGAGACTTCCTGATCAGTCTTAACAAATCAGTGATTTGACACGAGGCAGCTCCATCCCACCCCTTCCTCCTTTCTCCAGTGAAGCTGTCCCTCTAGAGCAGGAGTTATGGGGGGATGTGGCTTCCCACTGAGAGGACAGCAGTCACTGCCTCTGTTCTGCACTTGACAGCCAGGTAGGTGCTGCTGCCCTCCTGGGAGTTGGAAAGGTTGGCTGATTTACATGGTCAGACACGCGCAAATTCCATAGTTTCATTCAGAATTCCTAAGTTGTGTAGATTGCTTAAATCTCTAAATTGTGTACATGACAATTTCAGTTTGTCCAAATTGAATTTTTTCACAGGAATGTATTTTCAGTGACTAAAATTTTTGCAGGAGAGCATTCTGTGATTCCAAAGGGTATGTCTGGGTCAGACCCAGAGCAGAAAAGTAGGAATGTGTTTTGGCTATCACCTATCAGATCTGGAAAACCTAATTTAAGTTTTCAGTCCCATCCCAGGGACTTGACCCAGGGTCAATGGTCATACTGGGTAAATACACCAAGGACAGGGGGGCTGCCAGTTAGCACAGACCTCCTTCTGTCTCCTCACGAAGCTACTCTTTCCCACACGCCCCCATTCAGACCAAAAATCCCAAAATCCTGTTCTATGGAATGGCAGGTGAAACACACACCCTTTTCAAATCCAGTTGGGGCTGAGAGATACCTGTCCCACAGTGATTAACAATTAGCTGTTAGCCACAACTTCCAGCTGAAGGATAACAGAAACTTCACGTATGCTGGGTATGCTACACATCTGTTAAAGGTCAAAACTTTCCCTCTCCAGCCCAAGGCCTGTCAGTACACGTCATTTCATCCATCTGGCAGTACGTCACCAAGGAGGGGACAATATGTTTCTATCCAGTATAGCCTGAGCAGTATGAAACTCGATTGCATATGAAGAGACCAGTGTAAAGAGCTGCTTTAAGTTCATGGCCTGCTGACTTTCAGGTATGTAAACCCATGCAAAACCTGATGCAGTGTTGTTTTGGGGTGACAATATAACCACTCTGGCCTGGCTGGATCTAAAATCCAGCTAGTCTGCTCTCCTGTTTGCTGTGGGAAGAAGAAGCTTAAGGGAAGACTACAAGAACAAGGGGAAAAGAGAGCCTGTTTTTACACCCTCAGAACTTTTGCTGATCCATGGTGAGGAATTTCACAAATTGCATTGAAACTGCTCTGTTGAAAGTCTACCTTTGTATAAGAACAAATATTCCTGATATACTTCACCTGCAAATTATGAATTATCTTAAAGCTGATGTTAAAGTTGATCCTCTAACCAATTTAAAGGGTTCTACCAACATCTGTAAAATAGGAAATCTGTTTTTAAAGCACCTTTTGAACTTAAAGTATATCACATCATTAGAGGGTTCTCTTTTTGAGTATTATTTTGCAGTGCCTACATAACAGCAGTTTACAAATACACTTAATAGCTTAAAGGATTTTTATATCAATCTGTGCAGCTCTTACACAGAAAATCTCACTCAAGTCAGAAGTACACTGAACTAGGTCACACCTCCTCTTTAAAGTGTAAAAAAACCCACCTCATAATGACATTGAACTCCAAAGAGGAGTGAAAAGTCAATAAACAAAGTTATCAGAAGCTGGTAAGATATCTTTTCAGCTTTCTTCATAGGAAACGTTCACACTAGTATTTTAAAGGCGGCTTCTCACTGTGAAAGGTGCTTATCTTAGGGGAAGTGCGGAGGAGTTATTCTAAAGTTTAAAAAAAAAAAAAATCATCAGTAAAGACCCATCTTTTAATTCTACAGCAAGGTAAATTACCAATGCTTCAGCAACTCTGATCCACAGTAGCTGAGGTATTCTGGTTTTGCTGTGTTTTTCTACCTCAGGATATTTTATGGCAGTTGGTTGCCCTGAGTTTTCAGCAGAGAAAGCCAGCCCTGAATAAAAAATGCTAGGTTACGTTTTCTAAATACAAGCCAGAACAGCACTTTCCAAAATTTTGAGAGATGTTTTCAATGCTACAGGAAAAAGGTCAGCTAACACCTTCGCAGTCGCTCTCGCCTTTCCCCATTGCTGGTTAGCGCTGCGGTGGGTGAAACTGCACTCCTGGAAATCCCAAAGTCCTCTCGCTGGCAAATACAGGAATGTGGCCAAAGGAAGCTGGAGGTACGGTATTTCTCTGCAAATCATCTATAAGGAGAAGGAGGATCATACAGTTCCTTGGAGGTCCCCAGCTGTTTTTTCAGTAGGCTACAAGGTCAGATCTTCTTAATTAGCAGTGGGTTAAAGAATGATGGCTAATGCAATAACTCCCATGCAGGGAGATCTCAGGAGACTCTTGGCTTAAGTCACTTGTATGTGAGCTATATTCAGTGTAGTACTGGAAATTTCATCACTTCTGATATATGTGTAGGGATAAAGATGTTGATTAGATCATTTCATCCAGCACAGACTATTTCTGGATGTTCCTTTCAAATATATTTGGAGACCAGCAAATATAGTTGAATTTATTTATAGTAACAGAAAAAAATTTTAAAAGCTTCTTGCTATATAAGCATTTGAAAAAGCTTTTGGTTTTCTTCTTTTGCAAGGACAAGTACTTTTAATATGCTATTCGGATGTGTTCAGTGAATGAATGTACAAGAGCCTAGAGTTCAGAGTTATTTTTATTTAGCAGATGTAGAAGTTTCTAAGGAAGGGGATTCTGAAAATAGTTGCAAGTCTCTGGACTTGCTCAGCATTTCAAGAATAGTTAATTTTGTCTTCCCTTGAAGACACATTTTAACTTGTCAGACCCATGAAAAAGCAAACTGTTCAATATCTAAAAATTCTGCCTACTGGGTTAAGGAACAAATTAAGAGAAAAGTGTAAGTCTAAGACTGTCTCATGTTGCTTGTTATTTTCTGATGGGATCAGAAAGTTTCCAGGTGTGTCCTTTTGATCCTGGTAATTTAATGACAGGCAGTTTAAAAAAGCTTTTAATATTGCTGC